CGATTTTAAAAATTTTCGGCCATTTGGTATGCTGTACCAAGGCCAACAATTGTGCCAGGTTTGGAAGAAATTGGTGCAGCGGTTACCAAGATATACCAAGTTTCGTTAAGATATCTCAATTTTTACTCGAGTTATCATGTGCACAGACGGACGGACAGACAGTCACCGCTCAATCGATTTCTATTTTCATTCTGATCATTTATGTATACATTTGTCTATATCTATCTCGATTCGTTTTGCCTGTTACAAACATCCGTTATGTGAACAAAGTTTTAATACAAGTGCGCTCGGGTATTGAAATCGCACAAGCTTCAGTTGTCATGGCAACAGTAGCTTTTTATAAATCACGAATATTTTTGCCAGTTTCACAGCCATCTAGTAGCGCATTTCAAGATCATTGAGCACCCTGCATTAGTTGCAGTAGAAAACTGAAAGTTGGTATAGGTATTACAAATATCAAAAGGAAAAAACTAAGGGGATGCCTCGTTTTCTAGGATGAACATTTTTTCCCCATACAAAAATTGGACGACTCTAATGTACAGTGGCGGTCAAAAATGGATGAATGGTGTTCAGTTTTTAATATTAACAGTGTTTTTCAAGCCATATTTTTTTTAAATATTTTTTTATAAAAACATGGTTTATGCTTTAACAAAAACTATATAAATCACACTTTATACAGAACTTGTAAAAATTCCAAAATTTTTTATCTAAATTTCGAGCTTCTTAACCAGAGTTTTTAGAAATTTTTTGGGTATGCAGTTAACAAGCTTATAAAATTCTAGTAAAATGAGTGCAAGTTTTGAGTGGCTATAAAATCGCATTGATTTTTAGTAATTTTTTTTTTTGCTGACGGCTTTTGCACTTTTTTCCATATAAACATGAATTTCTTGTGGAAGAATATAAATGCGTAGAGGCTTCAAAAAAGCTTGTAGGAACTCAATAACAAACTATCAAAGTCTTTAAAGCAACAAGTTAAGACACGGTGGAACTCCTATAATGCTGCCCAGCATTCGCGAAATGCGGCAAGCAGTTCAAGAATTATTAATAGAAAGAAATGAGCTTCATAAACTATCTAAAGTAAATTCAAATATTTATTGGCTAAAATAAATAAATAAATAAAATCCAACCATCCATGAGCACGTTCTGTGGTACAAAAAACTACAAAAGCATTGTTAGGCGAATGCATCTGATTCTAAAGTCATTATCGATTTGAATAAAAACACGGCTGTTGCTTTAAATAAAAGATTCCAGTCAAGTTCAGTCCAATTTCTGAGATTGTTTTTAAATCCTCCGTTTAAAGAGTTACAGTTTTTATCTGCAGAACAGCGCGAACATAGAATAGGGACAGTAACGGCAATGCTTGAAGATAACTAAGGTAGAAATGTACTTGAAGAAAAGAGCGCCCTCAGCACGATTTCCAAATTCGGCATGATGACATTCCTTCTACCTCGAAAAGGGTAAAAACCCGTGCAACTTTTGACAAATTTAAAGATGCAACAATGAATCTTCAGAAATGGTTTTTGAAAAAATTAAAACGGGAATACAGATTTAATTGAAAAAATCGGAAAACAAAAGTTGTGACGATGTTTTAAAATTTTGGCAGAAAGCTAAAAATTTACCACTTCTGAGAAGTCTTTCAAGGCAAATTTTAAAAATAGCAGCTAGCTCAGCAACTAGTGAAAGATTTTTTCTGTGTCAGGCAAAATTCTGGAATGATTCTGGAGAATGAATATAGATACCAATTCTTTATTATACTCGTATTAGATATATAAGTATATCTGAAATGTGTTAAAATAATAGGAGCGCCTTAAGCCCTTGCTAGGCGTTTGGCCAAGCTTTTGTACTTGTGTGATAAAAGCCTATTTATATGAAATGCTATTTATATAAATAAAGTTTCAAATTGAAAAATATTTCCGTGAGAAACCGTGCGTGAGCGTGCGTGAACGTGATTGAAATAAATATAGCAGGATGTGAGTGTGCCTGATTTACAAAAACAACAACGTGAGCGTGCATGAACGTGAGCCAAAATTACTCTCGCGCCCATCTCTAGTTTACACATCAAATTTCATGAGTACCTAGTACTCACGCCTTTTGTTTTTGTTGAACGGTTAAAGTTCCTTTTATTTAACCCTCTATCTGGTAGGGCTGTTTTACATCCCGAACAAATTTGTTTTGCCATTTTCTATTTCTAATTAGAAACATCATTGTTTTTATTATTTTGTAAAGAACTATAAAGCAGTGAATGTGTGTTTTTAGAACAAATCAGTTAATATAAAAACAAATATTTTTAAAGGAAGCTTTCTAAACGAAATTGAACCATAAATACTGTTTTACCAAATATATCGACTCGTGCGCCACCTATCAGTAAATATACGCTTTAAATATAAACCAAATCGGACTATAATTACGGGGTTTTCAAATATCGCGACTCCTGCGCCACCTATCAGATTAACTAATCTTTCGTATTGCATTGTCATCGGATTCTGAGCCAATTGTGAAGTTTCAAGTCTCTAGGTCATCGGGAAGTTGGTCAAAAATGTATTGCAAGACTTGCCCCTAACAAACATACATACACTCATAAAAGAGATTTCCATACAAGTTTAAGTAAAAATAGGGAACAATATTGTGATAAAGCCGAATTATCTTAAAACAAAAAAATTGATGTAATTTCTTTGTTTTAAGTAGCAATTTACTTAAATGTAGGAAATTTTTCACTAACAGCCGCACTCAGAAACGTTCATTAAATTAGCTCTAACGGCACTTCACTAATGATCGTTAAATATGTTAATTAATGTTTCCTCTCAGAGTTAAAAATTATGAAACGAAAAATTTAAGTATGGCCCCAGTTGCGGCCCTTTTTTGTAGCATCACTCACTTTTTTTCGTTCAGTTTGAAATCAAATATAAAAATAGATATTTATGTATATCATTTTGCGCACATTGCCTTAACAGTCGCATTGGCTGAGTGAGCAGAGCACTGGCGTGCCATTCGAGAGATCCGAGTTCAAGTTCCAGGGAGGAAAATTTTCTTTTTCTTTTTTTTTATTTATTTTATTTTCTTGTTAAAGTTTTAAAAACTAATTTTATTTCATTTTTTGTTTTTGTGATCTACTAAATTTTCTTTTGATTTGTAGATTTTATTTTGTTAAGAAGGAAACTATTTTTTTTAATTTCATTTGATTTTAGAAACGGTTTGCTAAAAGACAAACAAAACCACTAACAAGCCAATACTGGCATCTGTCTTTCAACTCACCCCAGTCTTTCGAAAGACAAATGTCTTTCTCCGGCAACTATCTTGAAAGCTCTTTTCTGTATTTCGAATGAATAACACTGGTCTACAAATTTCAACTTTTTTTCTGCGAATAAGACGGGACCTGGTGTTTCTGAACGGATTTTTCGTGCTGAACACGAATCCGGGGTCAAAAATGTCCCATCACGTCACGTTTTCGAGAAAAAAGGGGTTGAAACCCCTAAAAACAGCGTTTTTGGCCATTTTCGAAAAATTATAGAGCTGAACCCTGACGTGGTACAAATTTTGCATATATCAGAAATTAAAGGCTAAACCGTGCCCTTTCGAATGAGCCCTATGCCGAATTGATCGCGTGCACCCTTAAAGCAGGGGGTGTATTTGTGTTTAGGGGTGCAGGAAAAATTGATCACAGAAAGAATTTAATCTTAAACGATCATAGAAAATTAATAATGCCAAGGTTTTAACTATATTAAAAGTCGCTGATTACGAATCTGCAGTTAGATTTTAAAAATTTAAGATGACGGGTCGAATATGGTGGATATAAAAATTGGACTCCTAGACACAAATACACCCCCTGATCTAAGGGTGCATGCGATTAATTCGGCATAGGGCTCATTCGAAAGGGCACGATTTAGCCTTTAATTTCTGACATATACAAAGTTTGTAGCACGTCAGGGTTCAGCTCTACAATTTTTCAAAAATGGCCAAAAACGCTGTTTTTAGGGGTTTCAACCCCTTTTTTCTCGAAAACGTGACGTGATGGGAAGTTTTGGACCCCAGATTCGTGTTCAGCACGAAAAATCCGTTCGGAAACACCAGGTCCCGTCTTATTCGCAAAACCCTTGTAGACCAGTGTAATTAAAAGATCTGCTAACCAGGAGGATAGCGGTATTCTATTTATCGTTTAGCAATAAGTTTTCCAAAAACAAAATTAAAAAATATTTTATTAAAACAAGAAAAACTAAAAATTGGATAAGATGAAACTAAAAAAAGAATAATCAAAAAAGTGTTCAAACAATAAATAAAATAAAAAAATATTTTTTAAGCAACAAAACTTAATAATTTAAAGAAAAAGGTTATTTAAGGCGGCAGTGGAAATATGCCTTCTGACAACCACCAAACCGTAATATTAGAAGATAAATGCGTCACTGAAAATCATGAACGTGAACTGTTGGACCAAAATGTTTCAATACAAAAAATTTATTTTGGGCCTGCTGGTTTTTTATGGTATTTGAGTGATTAGGTTTTTCCATATGAAATTAGTTTTAAAATATGTAATTTATGAAGCTGCATTAAAATAGGTCAGAGGTACGGTAGCTGTGGTACAGGCCGGAAGGTTTTGTTTCCGTCGAATGTTTCTTGGGAGAATTTTTCGTGAATGGCTCCGGTGGTCGCCCTTGAACCGAAGCACTCTGTTTGGGGCTGGGCTGTATGAATGGTCCCAGCCTAAAAGTTAAAAGAAAAGGAGTTTGAGAAGGAGTTTCGCTGAAATGGAATATATTAGGTAACTTGTAAAAACTATAGAAAATGTTATTTTACAATTTTTAAACTTCTGCACTCGGACACTTGTTAATCTATTAAGTGCCAGAATTGCATGTTGGCTCAGCATGTGGTAAAGTTCATTTCTGCTTCGTCAAAAAATTTTACGTTCGGTCGAACTCTAATGTAGTACATTCTTAGGCATTTATATAGCTTTTTTTGGGCTTAAGCTAGCAACAACTAAATATGCTTTTCTATTTTCTTACTTTCAGATCTTATCAAGCTGAATACCAAAAGTAGTCATCAAGGAATGCGCGTTGAACCGTTTCTCAGTTTGTAAAGTTGTTGTTAACGTCGTTGATAAAGAATAAATAAAAAGTGCAAATATTTTACAACAAAGTGTGTTGTAAGTCTATAGTGATGTGGATTCTTATTCAAATTAACTGTTTTTGTGCTTTTCGCAGAATTTACACATTGAAAATATTGTAAATACAATAAAAAAATACAACGGCGCTCTACTATGCCACGATTGCTCACTAGTACTCCCGCAACACTTATCTTGATTAAATATTATACTAAGAATAAAGTGGATCACAATACGACAAAAGTAGCCAAGTAGTCAAATCAGCCTATAGTCTACACAAAAAAGTAGTAGATAAAAAAGTAAAGCTTGAGCCAAAGTCGGAAAGTTACAAAGAACAAAAGCCAACAAAACCTAGGCTAGGAAAACTGTGCAATTGGCAACAAAAATAAAAAAAATACTTATATTTTTGGCTTTGCTTAAGTGACTTGATTGTGATATGACTACTAAATATCACAAGAATGCATCCAGCGGGCGAAAAAAGGGGTCGCCCCAAAAATAAATATACAGCCGAGGCGCTCGAATCTATTAAACAAGATCTGACGCGATTTCAAGTACAAAGGGATAATGGAGCAGCACAGGTGAGTGCCGTTGGGGTTTCTTAAGTTTATTTCTAATCAAGTTAAGTATTTTTGATATTGAAAAAACATCCTATTGTCTGTTCTTGTATACTACGGACTTCCACATTTTTTGCTATTTATTTCGGGGTTTACCCGATTTGTAAATTTTGGAAATAAGATTTGTAGGTACTGAAATACTCAGAAGGCTAAGTGGTTATTAAAATATATCCGTCGTTCTCGCTATCAAATATCGAATATCTCTTTATTCCGCTAACTATTTATAAAACGGTGTCCACGGCGGTCATGCGTTAAGAGCTGGTCCCATAACTCTGTCACTAATGATATAAACACAAAACGCCCTATATCTAGTTTACAATAACTTAATTTAATGTTTAGTGCAGGTATACTATATACTCTTACAGCCCGGTGACCAGATATTTGTAGACATAAATCGGGGCAGTTCTAAAGCATCGAATCCGAACATAAAATTTTGTTTTTAGAATAAAAATGCATATCACATTTTTTAATATACTTTTATTTAAAACAAAACAAAGAAAAATGTATGCACATTATATACAGCTTATATTTTTCATATCCATGATTTTTTTGAGGAAATTGGTATTATTTTTTATAATATCACTAAATTCAAGTTTGATTAAAAAAAAAAATAGCTTAACAAATAATTTTAAAAACCTTAAAAATATGAAGCAAGAATGATAGCCTGCAATATAGCGAGAGTTGCAGTTTGACAGAATAAAACATAACCAAAGATCATAGAAAATAAGGATGCTGGCTATGTTTATGGCTCCCTTATGCTCTATGCTTTTTGTAATAACGAAACTATGCCATGTTTGTCAGAAAAATGGTTTTTGGGCCAGAGAGCAGGGCGACTCCTATTAAATAAATAAAGAAAACTCTGGAAATCGGGATTTAATCGTTACAAATATGAAAAAAACGCGACACTTATACGCCTCGACTTTTAAAAGAATTTCAGCGGGACAATTTTCTCAAAATCGATACTGTCCCGCCAAATTCGGTACGAATGATCACCGTATTTTTAGGCCTTTAAAATTATGTATTTAAATGGAAGTCGATAAACCCAAAAACCCTCGATTTGTATGAATTTTTGTAACATTGATGATCGTTTATAGCAAAAATCTCAATGAAAGTTGCCAAATATGTGCTATTGTTGTAAAAGTACATGCGACCAAACTGATGCCTGATCTAAAGTATTTTTGAAAGACAATTTCGATTTTTTTGTTGAACCAAATTTTTCGTCATATCTTCGGCATTTGCAGCCAGATCTTAAAGTATGATACATAAGTATGTATATCGATTCTTTTTTTTTTGTCTCGAGGAGTAAATTTGTTATTCCAATGTTCATTGACCTCAAGCACCCTGTTATAGTACTTACCCACTTTAACTGTAACGGGCTACAGAGCAAGATTGAGGAGATAACCGTCTTTATGTGTCGGCATGGTATATTGATAGCTGCGGTCCAAGAGACGAAGCTGCACAGCAATTCAACATTGTTGAATTGTGCCGGGTACAACGTGCACCGTCGAGATCGCGAGCGAGATAATGGTGGTGGCTTAGCGTTCATCACGCACCACACCGTGCAGTATCGTCTTATCGAAGCAGACATCGACCGCAGGGATACCACCCTAGAATGTCAGGGCATTGCTATCCGGTCAGGCGATGTCGAGCTCGAAATATTTAATATATACATACCCCCTGTCACCTGCTGCCCGGCAGGATATCACCCTGATATAGGTGCGCTCCTCAGAGGTGAAAACCGTATGGTAGTAGGTGACTTTAATGCGCATCACGATCTTTAGCATTCAATCCTGTCAAACGATCGTAGGGGAAC